GTATTTAAGTGGAAGGTGGTGGGGCCCACTTATATATTTTATATAGTAAGTATTGGACATTTGTAATGATTTTATTGGAACAATGGTAGTAAATCCTAGACTCTTCTAATCTTCTAATAAAATAATATATAGTAATTAATAATATTAATGAATTTACTATTTCAAAGAATAATAAAATGAAATTAATTATCTATGTATTTTGAAAAGGATAAACTACCTTATTAGAAATACATCACTACTATATATACTAATATTATCTTTACTTTCAAACAATTACATATATTATCACTTTTAAATTTTATCCTAATTTTAAAATTGTGTAGATATAAATTACTATAATCTTTGAAAAATCATTTATCTCAACAATATTAGCTTGAGTCTAAACTCTAATAGTTCCCCATATATTATTGAATCTTAATGATAAAAATTAAATTATTACCTATAAACTGTAATTTGTTCGAAAGAAATTATAAAATCGCGATATAAATAATATATAAATTGTCAAAGAATAAAAATACGAAGAAAGTATTTACTAATTAATTGTTAAAAAGAAAAAAGAAAATCAATGAAAGTTACTCCTTCATCTAAGTAGGTGTTTGGCCAAAGATTCCAAATATATTGAATTTGATATACTCTTTACCTTTGTGATTTAAAATTGGTCAACACTCGCTATAAAAGTGACTCACATATATTTCTAATAGGGGTGCATATCAGCCGGTTCGATTTTACACATTATCGATTTGATTTATTGATTTTTAATTTATGAATATACTAAATCGATAATCAAATCAATAAAATACTTATTATCGATTTTTTATTCTTAACTATTTGAATTTGTTTAATTGATCAGAAAATGCTCATATGTTTATATGTACATGGTGTTCATAAAGTGAAAATTGTGGCAAGAATAGAAATGCAACACAAATTTCTACATTTATGACTGTTGTTTAAGACTAAATTGTTCGAATTCCTTCTTAAAACTCTTGTAAAAAATTATAGAAATGACATTAATTATTTATCTTTGTCACAAATCACAATCAAATTTAAAACTGAGATGAGAGAAAATAATACTAGTTTGCGTCGAGAAAAGACAAGATATCGTAATAGAAAGGTAGAGAGGCAACTGCAATAAATAGTGTAAATAAAATTTTATTTATCAAGTGAGAAATACATCCCGGAGAAAAAGTGCAGTTTGGATAACCATCCACGACTTATTTTAGTACACAAATATAAAAAAAATGTATATTGATATTGTATAAATAATGTATAAATGTGTATCAATATTATATATATATATATATATATATATATATATATATATATATATATATATATATATATATATATATATATATATATATATATATATATATATATATATATATATATATATATATATATATATATATATATATATATATATATATATATATATATATATATATATATATATATATATATATATATATATATATATATATATATATATATATATATATATATATATATATATATATATATATATATATATATATATATATATATATATATATATATATATATATATATATATATATATATATATATATATATATATATATATATATATATATATATATATATATATATATATATATATATATATATATATATATATATATATATATATATATATATATATATATATATATATATATATATATATATATATATATATATATATATATATATATATATATATATATATATATATATATATATATATATATATATATATATATATATATATATATATATATATATATATATATATATATATATATATATATATATATATATATATATATATATATATATATATATATATATATATATATATATATATATATATATATATATATATATATATATATATATATATATATATATATATATATATATATATATATATATATATATATATATATATATATATATATATATATATATATATATATATATATATATATATATATATATATATATATATATATATATATATATATATATATATATATATATATATATATATATATATATATATATATATATATATATATATATATATATATATATATATATATATATATATATATATATATATATATATATATATATATATATATATATATATATATATATATATATGGTATAAATAGTATATAAACATATATAGATATTATAGAAAATATACTTTTTTTCCTCCCAAATAATTTATAACCATACCACTAACCGAATTATGTAAAACAAAATGGAGTTTTGTTGATAATATCACCCAAAAATTAAAAGCCAATTAGCTATGAAATCATGTCACTCAACCAACACATGCAAATTCACATTCTCACATTTAATCAACATGCACCTATACTCCAATCTCTTTTTCCTCTATATTTAATAAATTTACACTCCACACTACTAATTTACTCTTCATCTTCTTCTTCAAAATTAAAAAAAAAAAGTTCTTTTTAAAAATAAAAAAAATAAAAATCATCTACATAAGTTTTTTAAGTGTTTCAAATTCAACATGACATAAAGGCTTAATTAAATTTGCCCAAGAGTTATGTAGCGTAATTATCCCTTTTATAAAGTCACTAAAATCACTAGTGCTAAAAAAGACAAAAGGCAAATATTTATATACGTATCTTTTTATAGCTGTTTCCAATAATTGATAAAATGGCTCTGCTCTGCTCTGCTCTGCTCTTGAACGTCGGTGCATGTCCATCCCACATTTCCAGGTTCTCCAATATCCCTTTTTTTTCTGTATCAATTTATGTGACGTAGTTTGATTTGACATATAATTTTAGAAATAAATAATTTTGAAATTTGTGGACTAAAGTAAGTTGTGGACGGTTATCGAAATTGTTACTAAATATAAAAATGTGTTATTTTTTGGAAGGGACTAACAGGAAAAATGAGTCAATTGGAAAGGGAATATATATTTTGGTTGTAATTTTATCGTCAATAATAAACATTCATCTTTTTCTCTTTGGTGGTTGTTTTGATAAATATCGGGTTAGCTTGTTTGCACTTTATATTAGGAATTCACTATATATTACTCTTTTTGTTTCAATTTATTTATGTGATTTTGACTTGACAAAGTTTTAAAAAGTATAAAATGTTTTTGAATCTTTTGGTCTTAAAGCCAAAAATATGTAAAATGTGGGTTTAAACATGTCGGGTAGAAATTTGAAATTAAAGCATTCTCGAAAAAAGAAAGACAGGTCATGTGTTCTATAGCAAATTCAAAACTCATTTTGGCTGATCATTCTCTCGGATCAGCTACTAATCATCGCCTTGATAAGCTATTGCCTCACTAGTGCTAAGGGCAGGTTCTTACGCGTTACTCACCTGTCCGCCACTGGAAATCGTTTCACGGTTGCATTACTTATAGCTTCGTTGTTCGTCCGCTTCTTTACTCCCACCATTATGAAAAATGAGCAACTCTGCGTACTAAAAATTAGCTAGATGAGAAGAAATGATCTAGTGTTTTTAACCTGGTTCAGTTCTTCCAGCCTCATTAACCTTATTAAAAAAATATCTAGTTTTTTTCTGTCTCGAGGATTTGGACCGAGGTCTATGACTGTTTCATTATCACTAGGCCACGCCCTTGGGTGGAAGAACATTTAGTTTTGAGGTTGAAACTTGACCCCTGATACGGAAAAATAGCCCTGTAACTTCGGGAGAAGGGGTGCCTCCTCACGAAGGGGGTTGCAATGACCAGGACCGGACAAATTCTATTAACCAAAAACACAAGTCATAAAATCGTATTGTTTTCTTGATAACTGAAAGATGAATTTGGTTGCTGCAATGCATTCATACAACTGAGCCATGTGAACGAAAAGTTATACTGTAGTTGTATTTCCCTTTCAATATTTTGTGTCAACTAGTTTGGGATTGAACATTGTTGTTTTTAACTAACTCTTCATGTTTTCCACTAAATGACTGATTGAGAATAAGTGCTTTTGTTTTTCCGGTAACTTTGAAAAATGTTGCATAGTTTACAAAATTCTGCGAAGTAAGGAACTAAATACAGGAAATTCTACTCAGAGTCAGAGTCAGACCACGCCTTATGATGAAAGGGGAATGAAGGACGGTTCATTTGATGAATAGATAGCTGATAGAGACGAGATTAAGAGGACGGAATAACTGCGAAAGATCAGAGATGGAAATGGATGACAGCAAAGGTTTGGTTTGTGTAACTGGTGGAACAGGATATCTAGCATCATGGTTGATCATGAAGCTTCTTCAACATGGATACTCAGTAAATGCTACCATAAGGTTCACTCAAGGTTAATATTTCCCACTGATTCTATTCATTCTCTTTTAAGGTTTATGAATTTGAGAAATCCTTCGGTCACGAGTTAGCTTTTGGAGTTGAGTTAGACCCAAAGAGGCAAAGATTCATTTCTTTACCTGGTATGAAAGTCATGTCCAATATTCCATGTTTGGGTTCTCGGTCCACGCTCTAATTTGGGTCTGGGCGTTAGAGTGGGTTAGAGTTCCACATTGGTTGGAGAATAGACTAACGGTCTGTTTATATGGATTTAGGTAATCCTTTTTTCATGAGCTAGTTTTTGGGGTTGGTGAGACCTGTGTTATATCTTTAGAATTCCAATGAGTAGTTTGATCTCTACGTGTTTTACTCGAATTGCCTTTCTAGCTGTAGGTTATTTAGTGTGTAATCTCTGAAGAAGAATTTTGGATGAATTTTTTAGATCACAAAACAGATGTTTGCTACCTCACTAACTTGCCTGAAGCATCCCAAAGGCTACGGATTTTTAATGCTGATATGGACAAACCGGAAAGCTTTAGTGCAGCTATTGAAGGATGTGTTGGAGTATTTCACGTTGCTCATCCAATGAATTACGGGGACCAAGAAATTGAAGAGGAAAAGATAAGAAAAGCAGTTGATGGAACATTAGGCATTTTACGGGAATGCCTCAATTCAAAAACAGTAAAACGAGTTGTTTACACTTCCAGCAGAACGGCGGTTGTGTTTAATGATAAAGGTTTAGACACAGTAGACGAGAGCTCGTGGTCTGACATCCATATCATGAAAACCTTAGAGCCTATATCTGCAGCTTCTTATGTGATTAGCAAAACTTTAACCGAAAAGGCTGCTCTTGAGTTTGCTGAGAAGCACGGATTAGATTTGGTAACCGTTATACCTAGTTGGATACATGGTCCCTTCTTGAGTCCTCAGTTCCCAGAGCCATTACGACCAGCCATGGCAATGATTTACGGTATGCCCCTTCTGCTCTTCAATCCCTGTAAGTTAATGTTATACATATGTTTGTTGTTGTATGTACATTTCGTGATACATTTGATGGAAGCAGTGTCATTGTTTTATTTTCTTCTCTGACATAAGCGCGTATTGTTTGTGTACACATCTTTCTTCCTCTACAGGCATCATCACAAGCTTCTTCATAGATGATTTGATTGCTTTACGTCCTGATCCCTTAAACTTAAAGATTTGGTTCATGTGATCATGTTGTAACATATTCAGAACGTCTTTTATCAGTTTTCTCTATATCCAACTCTAGTTTGTTGGACTCAGCATTTTCTTTTTCGATCTTGGCAAGACGTTTCCAGCTTCTAATTTCATCTAACTCGTTCTTTTCCATAAGATAGTTATATTCCAAATGTCGTGGTGAACTTGCTCTAAATTAAGCATTTCTTTTTGTTTCGTCTCCTGAATTACGCAGGTAATCAGGAAAACTGCATGAAGTATCCCTCGCTTACCCCATTCGTGCATGTAGATGACGTTGCCAATGCACACATACTCCTTCTAGAGAATAGTAAAGCAAAGGGAAGGTACATTTGCTCTGCTGTTGAAGTTACACCAGATGAGCTATTTAACTTCCTCTCAGCTAGGTATCCTGAATATCGAATACCTAACGTCGAGTGAGTTCCCATTAGCTCCTTTTGCTATTTGTTCTTTTGACATTAAAAGGAAAAAAAGAAGGTTATTTAACTTATCATGTATACATGTTTGTAGTTCATTGAGGGAGATTGGAGGGATTAAGCATCCTAGACTTTCATCAAAGAAACTTTTGGACACTGGATTCAAATACAAGTATGGACTTGAAGAAATGTTTGATGGTGCAATTGAATGCTGCAAACAGAAGGGTTTACTCTAGTTTGTACTCTATGACAGAGAAACCCTTGTCTAATTGACATCCCTTTGATTCCTTCGTTGAAAAATTATACTTCTTTCGTTTTAATTGTTTGTCGCTATTGAATCTTGTGGTCAACTAATTAAAGATATGTCGAACATACCAAAATGTTCTTTGATAATGTGGTCTAAAGCATGTCGAAAGATGGAGTTAAAAGAGTTGCCAAAAAAAGGAAAGATGCATTCTTTTTAATGCGGTCTAAAAAAAGAAGGCAAAATACAAAAATGTGCATTTTAACTTACTTCAGTTGACATCTATGTCCTTCAACCTCCAATTTTTTGAGTGTGCACAAGTAGACACTTCAACTTGTATAAAGTTGAACAAGTAGACACACACTTCCTACGTGGTATATTACACATAAGATCCATGTAGGATGCGAATTGCCACATAGGACGCATGTTCACTAGTTCAATTTTGTACAAGTTTAAGCGTCTACTTGTGCGCACACCCAAAGTTGAAGGACATATATAGATCCAACTGAAGCCAAGTTAAATGACATATTTAAGACCTAATACTAATATGTAATTAGTAGGGATAGTGTTGTAAAATAGTCATATCAATTACTCCCTCCGTTTCACAAAAAATAATACTCCCTCCGTTTCAAAAAGATTGGTCAGGTTTGACTTGGCACAAAGTTTAAGAAATTAAAAAAGACTTTTGAATCTTGTGATCCTAAATTAAAGTTATGTCAAATGTACAAAATTGTCCTTAATCTTGTGGTCTTAAACATGCCACGTGGAAAGCAAAAAGTAAAATGTTACTCCCTCTGTCCCATTTTATATGACTCACTTTCCTTTTTAGTCAGTCCCAAAAAGAATGACACATTTCCATATTAAGTAACAATTTCACTATGAAATGTCTATTTTACCCTTAATGAAATGATTTACAGCCATACAAATTTCTATCATTCATTTTGGACCACAAGTTTTAAAAGTCTTCCTTTCTTTCTTAAATTCCGTGCCGAGTCAAACTACCTCATATAAAATGGGACAGAGGGAGTAACATTTTACTTTTTGCTTTCCACGTGGCATGTTTAAGACCACAAGATTAAGGACAATTTTGTACATTTGACATAACTTTAATTTAGGATCACAAGATTCAAAAGTCTTTTTTAATTTCTTAAACTTTGTGCCAAGTCAAACCTGACCAATCTTTTTGAAACGGAGGGAGTATTATTTTCGATATACCAAATCCAAATGTAATATATAAAAGTGGCTGGAGGGAGTATACAAATATTTTTAGAATTATTTTTTTCAACTTAGGTATGAGACATAACAAATAAATTACAAAATTCACTCAGTTTTTCTGGAATTTTTTTTTCATGGAAAGCATCAAAATATCGAACACATGGAGATGTTTATCATAAAAATTTAAAAATCAACTTGAGGTTGAATTTCAAATATTTCAAGAATTTGAAAACAATAAAAAAAAAAAATTCACTTTTTCCACTCAAAATTACTCACAAAAAATTAAAAAATAACTCCAATTTATATTCACGGCAAACACAAAAAATATCTTTTGTTTTCACTTTTAAAATATATTTTTTTAAAATTTTACAATGACAGAATTGATGAAAATAAGGTGGGAGAAGAAATGGTCAATGTTCTAACAAAAGAGTAAAGTTCGCAACTTCTATTTTGCCTTGCTTGTGTATAGGAAGCACAAAGGCACAAATCTGCCGCCAGAAAAAAAAAAAAACGAACAAGAGAAGGAAGAAGAAGAAAGTGCCATGGGCGATCTACTCTCATGGCTATTCTCCTTCTTCCTTCTCGTAGCTGTTCTTGGTACTATCCTATACCAGGTATAACTCTCAATTTTTTAGCTGTTTCCAGAATTTAAGCTTTATTGGTTCAATTTTTTATTGATCTAGTTATGTGTTCATATTTACTATTTTTATTACAAATTTAGTGAAATTTTATGCACTAATTTGAACACCCTATTGAAATTACTGGGCTTAGATGCGTCAATTGGGCAAAATATGTCCATAGTGACTAGGATGGATGTGTCGTATCCGAAAACTAGCAGTGTGCTCTATCTGGAGGGCACAAATAACTTAATTTTCTCCTGTGAACTATTTGTGTGAATGGATTAGTTCGATCTAAAACTTGAGATAACGGGTGTAAATTGAAAAATGATTCATAAGTAGTTGTTAATGGAGTCGAGATTACCAAATTCTGAGGTGTCTGCATCAATTTATGCCGAATTGCACCTGTTGGTAATGCCAACATACTGCCTATGGTAGGGCCCACGAGGGGCTGGGTGGCCCGGGTCGAAGTCATGATCGAATATGATACTTGCTTGGTGAACTTAGTTAAGAAATAAAGTTGTGTTTTTGCTATCAGCGGTAGCTTTTGGCATGATGGTAAGCGCTTGATCCTAACAACTCCACGTATAGTCTCCCGAACCGCATTTTCTAAATGAAACAGCTATACTTGATACTCCAAACCTGCTTCTGCCCCAGCCTTAATTGATCCTTATAGGTTCTTTTGAGGTTGTAATAGTGCTTCCTTTTTCGTGGGTTATGGTTTGTCAAGAATTTCTGTTGTTCTGTTGTTAAGTTTTTTTTTTTTTTTTGTAATGGGTGTTGTGCAATAAAAATTGGGAAAATGAAGAATCGAGGCTTTGTGAAAGGGGAAATGTGAAGGTGGGAATTTCCGTGATGTATTGATATAGCATGAACAGATGAAAGTATAATTTTCTTAGAAAGAAGTATAATTATTGGCTATAATGATAGATTTCAATGTTGTTGAAGGGAGTGAGTAAGGTTGATGATATTGGACTAATCTGTGAAAGACGTAAATTGGTTTGATATTGAAGGAATTAGGCATTAAGACATGAACTGTTTCACATCTATAGTTTTAGTTCACATTAGCAATAGAACTTTGTCTATGTGAGTTTCGCATGGAATAGCTGGTCCCAAGCCACAATTAAAGAAGAGGGTTGTAGTGTCCATCAGCGTGAGAATTATTTAGATGATTTTTCTTAATTGAGCGCAATGGCCCAGCCAATTCATATAGCAACTCCAACTGATTTGGAATTGAGGGAATGATTTGCAATGAAGCAAGACTTTGGCTTTATTAGATTTCAAGTATCATGGATCTTTACTTACATAGCTTCCAAAAGATCCTTTGAAGTGATTTCTGTTAATTCACTAGGATGAACCAATTTCTATCTAGATTAAGGACTCTGTTACTGTTACTCCTGAAATGATTTGAATAGAGAGTAACATGAGGTGAATTCATTTGTTTCAATAGACAAATATCACTTCGATTTACCATTTCATCACTGATGACCTGGTATTATTTGTTATCTCTTCTAGTCCTTTTTCCTTTTATCAATCGCACTGAAAGATGAACAAGCATGTCAAATGTTGAATGTACTAGTAAAATTTACTAACTTACTATGCAGCATGTACCATGTTGTATTTAGATTGCATTGTCTACATAGCAGTTTTGTTTATGCACTTCTTCTCTCTTTTCTTCCTTGTCTTATATTCATAATATCTGGGCTTGAAGAACATTACAATTGCAATTATTTATTGCAGCTCATGTGCTTGGCAGATCTTGAATATGATTATGTCAACCCTTATGATTCAGCATCTCGGATTAACAGAGTAGTGGTGCCAGAATTTGCTCTTCAAGGAGCATTGTGCTTCCTACATCTTGTGACAGGGCATTGGTTGATGTTTCTGATATGTCTGCCATACTTGTATTATAACATCAAAGTGTAAGCATCTATTTATCTATAAGTGAAACATGTAGAAAGTCGTTGCATGTGTTGTTTTTTTAAAAGATGGTGCAACAAAAATGGTTTGAGGAAAGGATTAAAAATGTCTCCCAATATTAAGCATAGGGCTTTAAATAGCCAACTTAAAACAGAAATTCTGCATATTTTAAAATTCAAAAACCTAAAATATTTCAAGTAATCTTATCTAACTAAATTTGAATTTAAACAAAGCCTCCTCCTACAACTAAACTACTTATTTTCTGGTAATATGGCAGTAACAAAAGCAACTTTCAACACTCCTCTGCTTCACTTGCTGCAATTTAGACAAGTTGTTCCTCAATTTCTACTTCTATTGTTTGTGCTGAGGATTGTTTTGAGTTTCTCTGAATTTGCACACTTTTGTAACACGGCTCTTTCTTCTTCTTTCCTTTTCTCTTGTTTTGGTTTTGTGCATAAAAAACACCCTCAATAACCTTGTCTGGTCTGAAAGCTCTTTTGGAAGTGATTTAATCTGGACAAATTATAGGATATACAAAGTCATTGTAAGAATTTTTCTTCCATCACAATATTCCATGAATCATGGATTTCAAGATATGATTTCAATTTCACTGATCAAATTTTATAGTTTTCATAGTGAAAATTTGTGTGGCATTCAAAGAGAGACTGCTGCTTGCCATGTTTGAAGAATAGGTTAAAAATTGATATTGGTTAAAAATGATTTGAAATTTGTGGAGTGTACAAGTCTACCCTCCCCAAACCTCACTTGTGGGATTACATTGCGTATGTTGTTAAAAATGATATTAAAAAATGGTTCTATAGATGAACTCACAGATCCCGTAAGACTAATGAGTTTCTTGATACCACTGTTGATTTTTTAAAATATGGTGCAACAAGAATGATTCAAAGAATGATTAAAAATGTTTCTCAATATTAAGTAGACCTTTAAATAGCCAACTTAAAACAAAAAATCTGCATATTTTAAAATTCAAAAAACTAAAATATCTCAACTAATGTTTAACAAAGACTCCTAGTCTCCTACAACTAAACTGCTTATTTTTCTGGTATTCAGCAGTTGTCAGTCCCTTTTACTGTTACTTAACTCTGACATCTCAATATATAATCTGACAACTGATTTTAACCCTTCATCAGCTATACTGATCGCTGCCACTTGGTAGATGTAACTGAGATTTTCAATCAGCTTCCGTGGGATAAGAGGGTTCGGTTGTATAAGCTTGGATACCTTGTGATACTTCTTGCCTTTTCGATATTCTGGTACAGTCTCAGCAACAAGCTGCTAGTTCTCATCTCTGAAACAACTTGTAAACCTAATTATATCAGTAGTTTATGCTTTTAGTTCATGCCTAATCTTGTTTGTGATTTTAGGATGGTTTG